TTTACCGACCTATATCAGGCTGCGTCTCATTAACAGAGCGGTGTCCCCGACAACCCCAGTGAGCAATATTGTCACCGACACTCTAGCGATATCTAGTGATTCAGCATGGCCATGGGTGTACAGTAGCACAAGGCAACGACAGTGTATGCAGCGCTACGTTGACTCTGCAATGCCGCTCGCCCTGTATAGTGAGACTTGGAGGCGGTGGGAGGTGAGAGGTGGTATTGGTGCGTGAGGCCTGCATGGTTGTTCGCCTCACTTTGCGGGACAGGACCAGGGCGAAGGGTAACACGCCACGCTTGAAAACGAGTCGTAGCAAAAGGGCCTCACTGCGTTTGGAGCGGGCTTTGGGGATTGTTTTGGGGGGCGAGGGATTTTGGATATATAAGATTGAGAGGTTGTGGTGTTGTTGACAAGGCAGACTCCAACAATCTTTTGTTTCTTAGTATAGGAGCAGTATTTTATAATTCGGGTCTCGAACGCCAAACAATACATTTCCTATATAGCACAACTTGTCTCGACGACTTGACGCTCACAACATCAACTTCGCTATGACTTGAAACACTCAACGACTCCTTTCCTTTCCTTTCCTATATCCAGGAGCTGGTCTCCTACAACCCACCAACGCAATGAATCATCAACAATGATATCAAATACGTTTCACCACGCTCTCAGCGTGAGTCTTTAACCCAGCACAAGCAAGCATAATACATAAAAACAAAAACAAAAATACACGAAAACCGCTTCGCTGGGTACCACGTTTCAGACCAACCGTTCGCCAGAACCTTCAACTACAACAAAACTCGCTTGGGTTGGTCGGCCATACTGCCGATGTCGGGGTATGGTTCAAAAAAAGAGGAGAACACTCTGTAATTCGTTCAAATGGAGTGGGAAATGGGGGAGGACATTCTTTATAGATGGGAGGTATTCTGGGGAGTGCGATAACTAGAAGGGTTAGATGGGGGGTGGAGGGCAAAAGCGGTCATTTTAATGTATTCTAGAAGATACAGTGTCGTTCGTTTTGTATACATTTAATATTGTATTATATAAAATGTGTATTAGAGGGTGGTTACTTTGTTAAGTTGTGCTTTTCAACTGTCACAATAATAATGATACTAGCATGCTAGCATGTTACTGGAACTCTACACTTATTCTTCCGTTGACTGGTTGACAATGAATCTTCTCCTTATTTCTACTCGTCAAGTAATTATGAGTTTTGGGATAAATATAAAAGACCAAGCTTGTGTTCCTCTCAACCTCAGACTGACTGACTGACTTACTTACTCAACTCTCCCAGTCATACAAATCACCTTGAACTCGATATCCCATCCCTTTCCCTCGTGTTTCTCCACCAAATGCTTCCTTAACAACTCCTTAACCTCTTCCAGCGAATGCTCCCTCTGTACTTGCTCACTCCACCAAGTCTTCATCAGCCAACCCAGCATCATTCCAAACTGCAGAATATAATCTTCCGCACTTTCAATAGTGTAACTATCATCATGAGCCGTCACTTTCACATCTTGGAACCCTTCTTTCTTTAGGTGCTCTTCGATCCAAGCGGGGTTTGTCCAATCGCCTTGGTCGTGCATTTGCATCTTCATGACTTGGGGCAGTTTGGCTTCGAAGGGGAATGACGCGAATGCTGTTCGTATGTCGGGGAGCCAGAATGTATTGTCTTTGTGGAATGTTGTTGCGCCAAAGACGCCTCCTGACTTGAGGATGCGTTTGGCATCTGACGTACGTGTCAGTTCTGTTCTAAGGAGCTCATGGAGAAGTCGAACCATTAAGAACGGCATCCGGATCAGGGATGACATGGAGTGCTAGACCAAGGCCAACATGCGTGAAAGAATCTTCAGGGAGTCCAGTGTTCTGTATATCTCATTAGTTTGGCCATGTCAAGCTGTAAGTCAACTCACCGTCGCGTCCAGTTTCTTGACCTCCGTGTTAACCCATCCTTCCATGTCAAGTCTCTTCTTGGCCACACTGATCATACCGTCCGAAGCATCAGCACATAAAAACGTGCTCTTTTCGAGTACATCTCGAGACAAAGCCTGCTGGACCGCATGTGTCAAGACACCACTTCCACAAGCATTGTCCAGGAACTTCACAGGCGTTGAAGTCTTTTCAGATATCCCCATTTGTGTAGGAAGAGGCTTTATCAAGTGTGGCATCATGGTCTTTGAAGCGTACAGCATCTGAGCTTCCATGGTAGCGCTGTCATAGTGCTCTCTGAGAGTCTTGAGGGCGTTTGCGGTGTCTGAGGAAGTCATTCTGATGAAGCGGGAGGTTCTTAATATAATTGGCTGTAGTGAGTTGATCATGGATTTCGTTTAAGTTGTTGTTAACAATATGTTCAGTTCGTGAAGGGTTATATATAAGTCTCTTGGGAAGTTTCCGAAAAGTCACCGCTGAGGACGGAGACTAACTCGGAGTCTTGACATGGTATTTCCAGGGGATAATAATGGTTGTAATAAAGCCTACATAATTTAGTATACATTTTATCGTGGTTACTGGTCTATAGTGAGTGTTTGTGTAAGAATTGAATAGTCTTTTGCGCCAGTTGTTATAAAAGCTCCTCCTCGTCTCTTTGGTATGGGTTGGCTCAGGGTCTCGTATCTGCAGACATTTCCACCAATTCCTAACCTAGCTCCCCATTTGTACTAAGAAAAGACTGCTATTTTCACTGACTCTAATTTAATATCCAATTATGTAAAGCATGTAATAAAGTTCATTGTAAATGCTTCCCTTTCTTGGCGCTGGAATGAAGTTGACACGTGATACACTCCTGCGAGTCCAGGGTGGCATCTTATCTCCACATACTCCGTCCCTAGTTGGCATCACCCCAGCTTCGACTCAACTCTCCACAGCTCGCAAAACAACCTTTCTTGATCGCCATGTTATGATCTTGATGCTTGATATAGACGCTTCAAGTCGCCGAATAAAAGAGGGCGGTTTCTCATAAACCGCTTCTTTGCGCCCTCGAACCCCACCGCTATCATGATTGCTCCCATCGCCTGGGCCTTGGTCGCCCTGGGCGCATTAACGCCCCTAGTCACAGCGAATCCAGAAGATGGTCTTCCCTCATATCACTACGGCGCTCCCATTCCCGTAGAATGCATGAACCGTAACTCGTACGTGTCATCACTCAATTGCAGCTACATCTCTAATAAGACGCAGAGAAACTGGCGAACATGTCGAAAACGAAAAGCACGAAATCGAATGGAACCCTTTTCCTATCTGCAACGAAACCGGCCGCTCTCTTGAGTTCAATTATGGCACAGAAGGCGAAGTGAACTGCACGATAGCCATGATAGACGACCCTTTCTTCCATCTCCTCGAATTCTACATCCACTCCGATGCGCCTCTATCATGTCGTATTCCTGCGCGTCCAGCGGTCGAAGTCGAAGTCGTCGGCGAGAAGGTCCCCGAGCGCGAATACGTCCCCGTCGTTTTCGCACTCGCGGGCACATTACAACTCAGCCATATACACATCAGCACGCATATGAACGTGTTGCTACACAGCACGCCGAAGCATCACACTCATGTTCATGACAGCGGGGTTTTGGATTCAGCGATTGCGTATAGTACTAGTCCACTGCATCATTTACAGGGTTCGCATACACGAAAATTGGTCATTGGCGATCCATTACCGTTGAGCCTCTCTGTGCGATGGTTTCCTACACCAGCGCTGCCCAAGACAGAAGGAAAGGTGGAATGGCAGGGCCTAGGCGGTCATATTTACGCGAGCACTGTGTTCTACAGTCTCGTGTCCTTTGGCGCTGGTGTGCTGTGTGCTACTATGTACACTCTTGGTGTGATTCTTCCCAGGAGGCTCAAGGGACGAGCTCTTGGGGGTGCGACGCCGTTGGGATATGGAGTGAGCACCATGGGCAATGGATGGGGATACTCAAAGCAGAATAAGAGAATGGACTGAGGTCCAGGTTTGATGTACAGTGCATTTATGGAGTCAGGGATGGACATGGGATTCTTGCAATGTAGAACAGTAATGCGAAAAGTTAGAGGCAACAGTCCACACCGACTAATTGTCATACAAGTGCCGTTTCGTGATTGTGTTGTCTACTGTGTCTTGGGCTTGATATCAGTGCTGACACGGCGCAACAGTCGTGTATACATATCGACAGCCATAGCACCAGCTTGACCTTGTTAGTAAACATCTCAACAAACGGATGGGAACTTACGAATAAGCGCATAAGGGAAATACGTCCCCCAGACCAAGTTCCTCTTATGCTCCACGCTCACCAACTCAGAACCCATCTCCAATAGCTCAGCAACACAGGCAACGGAGCTCATAGCGGTCAGGCAACCATACGCCAGACCAGCGAGTTCAACAGGTCCAGATGAAGGCTTCTTAGCAGCGAGGTTCCGCACGATGTAAATGGCCAGAGGGAATTGGACAAAAATCTCAATGAAGAACATGCTGCGGAACCAGGCGCCGTGGAACTTGTCTCCGAAGAAGGGGTCTCCTGAGAAGGAGAGGTACTGTTCTTTGACGTTGGCTAGAAAGTGGAGGGGGGCATTTGGTGCAGAATAGATTGAGTCAGGGTAGAATTCAGTGAATTCGAGGCCTGGGGTTTGTTAGTGGGAGCCCTGAGGTTGATGTGGACGATACGGTTGGTACGGACAGATCATGCCGATGAGTTGGAGTGAGATTATGACCAGGTATACCCAGTCGCGAGTTGCTTTTTGTGCCATTTTACGAGTTGGAGAACAAATGATACGATGCAAGCAAGAAACTGGGACGAGATTATAATGTTTTTGTGTCAATGGGTTCTGGCTTTTGGTGCAAGAATGTTGAAGAGGGAGCTTTGGGTGGGAAATGAGACATGTATGATTCGGCGCCGGATCCTTGCTCCGTCCGGGCGCCCACATCCGGCCAAAGAGTACACCATGGGATAGGCGTGGGCATAAAACAGACTTTGAACGGCAGATGATATTGATCATTATCATTAAATACTAATACACGCTACGAGTGAATCGCGCTATTGAGCTGCAACAGTAGCAAGAGACTTATCAAAAGCCTCCATATCGAGCCCTGTCAACAAATCCGCCCAGAATTCATCGTCAAACTGAAAATTGGTCGCCCAGTCTGGACTAATCTGCAGCGCACTTGAGCTCTCCACCGCAGTCTGCGGCTGCTGCACGAGCAACTGCTGTTCCTCCTCTGGAATCTTTGACAAATACCACTGTCGAATCCATCTGACCTTGAAGCACGACTTTAGAAACACACTACTCCCATCCTCCATGACCCTGCGTCTCCTATTCAGCCTCTGCGCCTGTTCATCAGCTTGAGCAAACTGATCGCTTAATCGCTGGAGAATGTCCTGGAATTGAAGACGGTGACGTGCAGCTTTGGGATCCCAGTCTGTAGAGTTCTCGGCCATGATCAAGCGCGATGCTGTGACGGTTACGAAGGCGAGGACGCACGATACTGTCACGGGGAGGATGGAGATCTTTTCGGGGTCCAGTGTGACGTGGTTTTCGAGGGTGTTTTGGATGGCTTCGAGGCATCTCCAGAGATATTCGGTGCGGAGGAAGGGTTCGGTTGGGGAGGTGTCGGTGGATAGTAGGCTTGAGGGCTTCATGGTGAGGATTGGCTCGTAGAGACGGACGAGGATGGAGTTGTAGTGGGCCCTGAAACCAGCTGTGACTGTTAACTTTGGTGCAGTGTTCAATTCGGGAGACGTACGTATTTGCTTCACGATTTCGGGCTGTAGTTTAAAGTAGTTCTCTAATTCGCGATGGACGGTGTCAAGGGCCATGGCGGTTACGGCGTGGAATGTCGGAGGTGTTGGGTCGAAGGGATCAATGGACGGTATGACACTGAATCCCCGATCGGCCAAGTGTTGCATTCGAACGAGAGAGACAAGATATATGTCTGATTCAAACTCTCGTGCCTCGGCGAGGTTGTCGCAGCAGGAAGCCAGATGTGTGTTCCAGTGGAAGATGGTGCTCTTTCTGAAGTACGGGCTTAGTCTGGTCTTGTTAGCTGTGCATGCTTCAGTAGCTCAAGGGCATTTTGGCCTACAGATTTGTGATGTGGTATACACCTAGAACTGCGCGTTTCTCGGCCGCTGTCTGATGAGCCTTCATCTTAAGCGGGTGTTTGCTCATTGACGTCCATGCATCGCCAAGCAGCGTCTTTGGTCCCCCCAGAAAGTGTCCTGCGTGCTTGTCAAGCCGTAGATCGATGACTAGACCTATAGCCATCTGTATAATGTTTGTAACTTGAAGCTCTCCGTAAAAGTGAAAGTCGTTCCTGATCGATCAGCACAAGAAAACGACCACTCAAAGGGAGACTCACCATGCTAGATAGACCAACATCGCTTGTAATATGTCAATAGACTTCTCCTGCCTCACAACAAGATGCTCAGCAAGATATCTCCTAAACCACGCCTTAAACTCCATCTGAACCTTATCATTCAGCGGTGAAACAACCGCCAATATCGTCCAGAACATGACTCTCGACTCAACATACAATTCCGAAGCACACATTGAGCTCGGCACAGGAACAAAGGGGAAATGCGGCACGTAGTCTCTGCGGTATACATCAAGACGGTCAGAGGCTTCTTGCTGCGAGACGCGAAAGCCAGGAAATAGTTCAACATCCGTGCTGAAGCGGACGCTGTCGTCGGGGATTTGGTTCATCATGTCGTGGTTTGTAGAGTGAGGTTGACATGGAGCGTGGCCTTGGACTTCCTGGGGACTTTCTGGTGTTAGAGGGGAGAGGCCTTTGCGCTGGTTTGCGGAGAGGAGAGAGACGATGCCATCGATCTTCTTCTCTAATTGAGCGACTCGTCTATAAAAGTCAGTCAGTCAAGTTTTATATAAATCAGTCTAGAGGGCTTGTCGTACGTTGACTTGCCGCGTTTTCGTCGCTGTGTAATTTCCGGTACCTGACAATCAAGCTTCATCCTCAAGCATCTACACCAACAATCAGTATTCATCCCACACTAAATATCCTACAACATACCTTGAACACGTCTTTTCTACACGGCCAGGGCCAGAACTAGGCCACTGACACTTCATCTTCAACCTCGCGCAATTCGTACAAGCCCTCGTCTTCTGCATCACATCCTGGCGGTCCTGGTCCTGACTGATGAGGCACTCATCCATGACTAATTTTCGCTTTTGAAGAATTCATTCAAGGATGCCCAAAATTCAATAAACGAACATGAAATAGGTTAAATTGAATGAAGGGCACGAGATGAGGTTCAGTGTGATTTACTGATGCGCCGGAGGTAAAGATGGTTTATCGGCCGTTAATCCCGGGTTTCGGGGGCTTTTATAACGCCCGGTCATACGCGTGTGGCTGTTCCAGGGGGGATTTAGGGCCTTTTTGGGAAGGGAGATCGGGGAACGGGGGGCTTTTTAAGGGCCGATGGTCCCGTTGACGACAGATCGTAAGACATATCCCATGGAGATTGCATTACATCAACAAACCAGACTCATGAGAATAATTGCTATAGAGTCAGCCTGTCTGTATTTTCAGAGTTGTTCATTATCATTCATGTATATAACTATAGCGCAGCAAGATATGTTCATATGCTCGTTACCTGACCGAGTATAAGTGCTCGGAGTTGAAGAACTGGGGATTCCGATGTTGTGTCCGCTGTAAGTAGTGCTTACATCCAAGTTAAGTATCCCCAAATATTAATTTCATGCATTTCATGCTCATAAATAGATCCAAGGCGTTTTGTTTGTGACTTGGACGAACCCGATCTTGATTAACCTGTACAGCATGATCCAGCATAATCCCCATCATGGTCATTCAAGTATAAGTTCACCATGGTGTGATCACACCTTACAGAACACGCCGCCAACATCATAAAAAACAGTCGTTGAATACTTTATATAATAATTGGAGTCTCTGCCAGTATTTATCGGTGATCTACAGTGATTGTTGTCAGAACGGCGAAAACTTAAGCCGTCTTACAGTAGCTAGTTAAATTTATGAATCTCTATCACAAAGTCCCATTCTTTGAATTGCTTGGTGATAAGTGCCAGGCATTAATCTTTCTGAGTCACTGTAAATAAAGGAAACAAAGATACCGATTGGCTGTTTCATGGCGGATGAATACAGGCTAGTCCTCACTGTCCGAATGAACATCATTTTGATATAGCATCAAGGCACGGTCATGGTAGCACATTTGCAAGAACAAAGAACAAATCAGGGAAGTCAAATCAATTCCCAACTAATCTAACAATAAAAATACCTATCAACGCTAACAAAGCAAACCTAGATTAAAAGACTGTCCATCGCTGAGGGAGGAAAACCTGGCTATCTAGGCAGATCGGGATAATCTCCAAGTCCGCACTGAGATATTTAGCATCTTCCTCGTCCACCAACTGCCTGCTTCTTCTTCTTCGCCGGTAAATTCTGACTCCCCAGCTGGCGGTGTTATGTAAACACCTGTCTGCAGTCTACTAACACCGTCTTTTTTTGCGTTTTCGTCTTTTGATCTTTTTTTGGTGTTTTGTTAGTTTTATAAGAAGATGGGGGGACAGCTAACCTGTTAGAATACCGGATTCTACATGTCTAGCCAAGGGAAGGGGAACTTACTTCTCCTTCTCAGCCTCAGCTTCATCCTTGTCGTCCTTCTTCGACTCGTCATCCTTCATCTGGTTCGCCTGCTCGTCTTCCTTCTTATCCCCGACCTGAGTCTTATCCTTCCCATCCTCCTCGTCACTAAAGTTCATTCCAAGGAATGGAGCCACCTCGGACTGCATCCGAAGAGTGCTTCGGCGATTCGCACGCTTCTGCTTGCGAGTCAGGACAGTTTCAGAGCTGCGATCAACAGGCTCATTGTCGAAGTTGCCCGTAGAGGCGAGGACTGTGGAGCTGCGGCGACGGCCGGCGTTCTCCTTGGTGTTGGTGGAGTTGTTGTTCTGGCAAGACATTTTTCGGTATGTGATAGTACTTGAAATTGTGAAGGGTGTAGAGGTACTGTGTAGTAGTGGGAGTGTGATGAGATGAGATGGTTGAAAAGGGATGAAGGCGAAGGATCTACGGTATATATATGTTATCTAGATGAGATGAGTGCCACGGAATGTATATATATGTTCAGCTGTATTGGATCTGCTCTTAGTCTGATCTAATGTGCTCTATAACTCATCTTGCCCGGTCTGATGAACTGACAGAGAGAAGATAATGGATGTGCAGGTGAAATTTATACGTGTATCAGAATCATTCACATCTGATATCTGTGAACCGATACGTGAATAGATAATGCGACATTGAAAAGCGGAAAGCATTACAGTGACCTTGTGCATTGTTCATCATGCAAACACAAACTTGGGCGAACCGAAACCTGCGTAGTTTGCCGCCTAGTGATTTTGTGTTCACGCTTCGCATTTGCAACGACAAAGAACATCGGACGATTGGTTAATAACTAGGAACTGCAATGAACCACGATGGCAAATGTAAGTTAATCATCCACTCGAAACTGGCCCAAAACGGTCGAATGCCACCCTCATCGACTTACATGTTATTATATTGTCCTGTGCGTTAGCGATGCCTCTCATGTCTTCCAACCTCACCTTTCGGCATCAAGCAACCCAGCAACATAGAATAGTAGATCCATAAACTACTCGCTGATCTAGTCTAGATACAAGGGAAAAGAAAATAGGGGTGGTTACTAAGCTTTGAGCGGTTTTACGTTACTCTTTTCCTATCTAGCTACTAACGGTCATACCAGAAGCCGGCGCTGATGATGGAGAAATGTGTCGCCTATAATGCAATAATTACACAGACTTAAGCCGTATCTTTGAATTACTTTGATCAAATCAAAAACCGTGGAAGGCCTGTCTAATTCTGAGTATACCTATGACCACGACCAAGATATGAGCCTTATTCGCGATATAATACTGACAGAAAAACTTGATCAGATGAACCATCAAATATCCTACCACTGCTGATCTACTACCATCCGATTTTCCTAATTCCGAATAGGGTCAGGGCCAACAGGATTCTTGATCCAACCCTTGGGAATTTGATGAATAAAATCATACCACCAATCCCCTAGAATCTCATACCCCTTCTGCGTCGGATGAACGCAATCACTCAAAAGCGCATCATCAAAAGGCCCAAAATCAGCAGCAAGCACGTGAGACCCATTTGAGCTGAGTTCAGCTGCCAATTTAGCAACATGATCACGGTAGATCTTTATCCTCTCTCTCTGAAAATGATACGATTCTCTGTCGCAGACATCGGTGATCATACCGATGATAATAGTAGCATCAGGGCATTTGGAAATCATCTTTTCGACCATTGATTTGAGGCGGTTGGTGGTTTCTTGAGGGTGGTTACCATCAGTGGAAATCTGACGATTACTGTTCATGTCGTTTGTTCCGGCGTGGATGAGGATGAGGTTTGGGCGTTGTTCAAGGGATGGATCAATGTGGTCGTTGATATACTGGACTGTTTTTCCGGACCAGGCTGCCTATGACCTAGTTAGATTAATGTATCGATTTCTGGACTTGTAAGAGACTTACAAAGTGACCGTCTTTCATATCTCCCTTTGTCTTCTCGGTGCCAGCCCAAACGACCTCATTTCCTAAAACAATGTCAGCCCGATTCATCGACGAGGATAGTGTGCTCCCACTACTCAAGTCCTTCCCTAGTCTCTTCCGGTACCCGTTTCCGTCTGTCCCTTTTCCAAAGCCGACAGTGATAGAGTCTCCGACGGAGAGAATCCGAAGCTTGACACCGCCTTGAACAACTTTACCAGGTGGCGTGCCCTTGAAACTCAAGAAATCACTCTCTTCTTGAGTTTGAATATCCGTAATCTTCTTTGAACCTGGTCCTGTGTTAGGATTTGCGTAGCCTTTCCTGATTTCATAAGGGATGACTCCAGCTAAGGCTGCTGCTGGGAGAAGGAGAAGGGGGAGGTTCTTGAAGAAATGCATGTTGCCGGTGAGGATGGCATGAAGGAATCAAGATAGACAAGACTGGAATAGATATACAGAATTTTGAATTTTATCTAAGTTTCGTGGAGAGGGTTAGACAAACTTAACGTGAAAAAATATCCATCAGAAGACTGTTGACTTTTGGAGGACCAAAGTCAATCCCTCCCGCTCCACAAAGACACAGAGTTCTCACCGGGATTACTGGAAAGGTTTCTATGTGAGGCCATGAGGTGCTATTCCATCTTAAGAAATAACTGCTTCTTATGAATGTCCCAAAGCAAGGCGGTGTTAATGCTGTGTAAGTCTGCGAAATGGCCGTCAAGAGACTAGAGAGAATTGCCCGTGAAACTTTATGCTGTTTATAGTCTACCCGCCACAGCTCATTGGCTATAGTTCTTTTCAGCAAAGCATCGAGGTATTTTGCTGGAGGGAGGTAACTGGTAATTGTGAAACTTACAAGTCAGGCTCTCATTGTTAATAGGCCAGAGGCTGTGACGTCCACATGAGGATTCCGTTTACACGACAGCAAAGCATTCTTCCGAACATAGTATTCGACGGTGTACATCAGCCAAATCAGCTTAGCAGGTTAGTCACGGCATAGTCACACCAAACATCAAATACGAGGCCGATGCTCGATGGGGGTTTGGCACTTATGCCCAGGCCACCAAAGTTATTTCTGTTTATGATGTATCGGTACACCCGTTTAAATCAAACATATACTAATGCTCAATAAGTGTCTCATATGCTATAATAATAGCTCCAAACAATAAAGTGGAGACGCACAGATAATATAGAAGGAAGTCGCACCTTCCGTGTCGTCGACTGGCTATAACCTCTCCATTCACAATTTCACGACGCCTTCACTCCATTATACAGATGCCTCAACCTTCAAATCTTGGCCAAATCAAAAAGAAACAACACCAAAAGAATCATCTCGTCTCAACCGTCGATTTCAATGCATCAGGGAATCGAACCCTCTCCCCGACGCTGCTCGAATGGCAACGGAGAATTTTACCACTAAACCAATTACGCTGATAGAGGCGGTTGAGAACCCAATCGGATGAGCTGTGAACGACGGTTTCAAAATGGAGACTATACAGGTCTTTTGGAAGGAAAGAAAACTCAGAACCTTGATCCTAAACAACAAAAAGACTTAGGTAACTTAAGGTAAATTTAGGATAAGTTTAGTATAGACTTAGTGTATCCTTTACTAAAATTAGAATATCTTTTACTAAGTTTATTTTTGATACCCTATATGTAGGTCTGAGTTTTATTACCCCCAAGGATTAGGAAGTAGGTATTATCACACTGTAGGCTCAGCGTACGTTGGAATGCGCGTTGACCACGACTGTTATGTGTTGAAGATGGGCTTGTCCTCTCCAACGTAGATATCCTAGGCTTTGACGAAATTCATCTGATCTGTATTTCAGGTTCCCACGTCCTCATGACTTTTCTAGTCTCAATGTCGAAAGCTGGTTGCTGGCTGAGAGGTGAGATTCTGATAGTTGTCCGGTAGAATAACTTCACTTCAGTATGTTTATCTCAGCAACCTAGTTATCGCTCGTAAGGGAATGCTCAGCTCAATTTGAAAGAAGTAACCAATCGACAACATCTCTCTCATGCCGAGCTCGGACTCTTTTGATAGTAGTACCCAGGCCAAGGTAGGAATTAACAAATTTGGCAAAACTCCCCCAGCCTAATTCTTACGCCAAACTCAGAAATTCCAAAGCCATTTCAAATTGACATTTTCATCTCGACGACTACCAATGTCTCAAAGCCCGGCAGTTGATACGAGGATGGAAAAGGGGTTGCATTTTGCGGATCTTACTTATCCCGAGCTCCAACGCCCGCACGTGAGACGACACGAGGCTCTCCACCTCATTTCGAGATTCTCATCAATCTGAAGCTGACATGAAAGATCGACATCAATAACTTACAGCAATTCATTCTCTACGTCTTCATATTCACTTATTCCGTCGCTCTTTTCTGCTTTTTTACGCCAAAATGCCGTCTCCGATCGTTGCCGCTACACTCCAGGCTGCGGGCCTGTCGACCATCTCTAATATCCTTGCCCAGATAATTGAGGCTCGTCAGCAGAGTGTGAGTTTGGCAAAATGAGCAGCCATAATGTCATCTTTTGAATCGAGAATCTCAAACTTTGGCATCAGTGCTATCATAGAGTTCACTGGCTAATTTCCGCAGCGTCCGGTCTCCCTAGACATCGTCCAGCTTCTGCGCTTTGTCTCCCTCACATTAATGACCGCTCCCCCAAACTATCACTGGCAAGGGTATCTGGAGCGAACATTTCCCGCTTATCCCGCTGCTAGAGGGCCACAGCTCGGGCGTCTGAGTGATCTTGAGATGCAGCCTACCGAAGATGCTCCCGAGCTCAAAGAGGGCTACGAGGAGCGCATGGCGCAGATCAACAAGGATAGAGAGCCTCAGTTTAGCATGCGCAACACTTTGACAAAGTGGTTCGTTGACTGTATCACTGCGGGAGCTATCATGAACACGATCGCGTTTTTGATCATCATGGGTCTGCTCAAAGGTCAAGGCGGTTCTCAAATCTGGAACAACATCAAGACAGTGAGTCACTAAAATCTCTATCTGCGGGCTATTCTAATATCTTGCAGGAAACTGTTCCCATCATTGTGGCTGGCTACAAGATTTGGCCTGTTGCATCCATCATCAGCTTCACTTTCATCCCTGTCCATCGACGAATCGTGTTTTTGAGCTTCATCGGTCTTCTGTGGGGAATTTACATGAGTCTAGTGGCTGCACGAGTATAGATCGTTCGCAATGTAAGCGAAGGCCGAGTTTGGCAGGTTTTGTATTTTTCATGCGTGCCACTGGGGAAAAAGGCTCTGAGGGTTGAACGATTCAACAGTGTCCATAGGAATTCGACACCTACCAGCGAGATTGGATTTGTTTGATTTTGCGTTTGAAAAGGGCTAAAAGCGCCCCTTCAGCAGATCAGTTGTTTGATAGTCATGCGTTGCGATGATCTGTTGAACGTATCAACTACAAGCTATTGTTGTATCATTGTTGTATTATTGTTGGCTATTGTTCTTCTCTTTGCCAAATGTTCAGTCCCCAACGGATCTCTTATTCAGTGTTCCGAAAACACCTCTCAGCAAACGCTGAACGGCCGTCTAAAGTGACAATAATCAATGTTTCCCTGCCTCTATATAAACCTCTCGTATTCCTTCATGACCAGGTAGATTTCTCATCCCTCAACCAACTGTCTCAACAACCTTCAAACTCACCCCATTCACCCAAACACAACAACCAAAACAATCACACAAAACTCTCTCTTGCACACACATTCTCATCCAAATATTCCCACCCACAACCGCAAACATGCCTGACTTTCGCCCTCTCTTCTTCATCGCCAAGGTCTTGACCTGCTGTTGCTGCTGCAGTCGTCGCAAGCCTGAGAATGCCCGAGGTTCCAATCACCCCTACGGCGCCGGACAAGACCAGCGAACAGGAAACAGTAGTAGCGAGAACGATTCTGACTACTCTGAATACTCGGTGCCCCCGGCATATCCAGGTGGTCCCTTGAATCTCATTCATCCTGATGAATTTGAGCACCCTGAGTTGGACGAAGTGCATGGACGAGATGACTTTGGATTTGACCTGCAAAAGTCCAGATCTCTTGTTCCGTGTCCCCCTACGCCTCGTCCGTCTTCGCCTGCCACTTCTGAGCCTGCTACTACTAGGCCTAGTACTGCTAAACCTGATACTATGAGGTCTAGTACTGCGGAGTCTACTACTACCAAGACTATTTCAGATGAGCCCGTTTCTGGTCCATCTGTCATAGCTGAGACTACTGCTACCGACTCCGTCGTTACCGAAAGGCCTCTTGCTGATGAGCCTGGTACTCCCAAACCTGTTGTCGTTGGGCCCATCGCACCAGATGCACTCTGGCAAGCGTCCTGGACCTGGCCAAAAGCGCCAACGTTCGCAGATGAGACTGCTCGTGATAAATCTGTCATAGCCAAGCCTGAAGCTACTGAAATTGCTGCCAAAAGGCCTGCTACTCATGAGCCTAGTACTACTAGGTCTGTCGGCTCTGGACCTATCGCAGATGAGCCTCCTGTAACTAAGTCTGTTGTTACAGAGTCTGAGCCCGAAGCCAGACCTATTGAGGCCAATCCTGCAGAGACTAAGACCCATCAACCTAACTTTGTCAATGTCGAGCTGGCGGAGGCTGGTCCTCTCAAGTCTGATATCGAGGCCAGTAAAGTTATTAAAGATGGCACCACTGAGGCCAGCTCTGACGGAGTTGGTCCTACAGAGAACAAGGACGAGGATAAGGACAAGGACAAGGTCTTGGAGTAGGGCCGGAGTTGGAAAGGATTCGGTTTTGGTTATGTTCGGAATAGGCTCGGTAAAGGACTGGATAGTGAATGGCGTGGTGAAGGAACATGACATAACAGAGAATTTGCTTATTTGCCCTTATGCCCTGGGCTCTTTTTTGAATATATAAACTGAGCCAAAGCTGCCCCTCACTATCATTTTTGGCATTGAGTCATCATTAATTTCCAACCTCGTGCTAAAAGCAAATATCTGTATTGTAGACGAGGTACACCGTACAAGACAGCCTTCTACCAATAATAATTTGTAATGTCGCCTTGAGTTAATCTGATTTTAGACCTTCTACTATAGGAAGGACACATAATCGCACAAGCCAACGGCCAAGTTGGTCGGGCAACTCAGCTGATAGGCGAATGCCCGTGACAAAATCGAAGGTTGAAAATGTCGCGTGCATTTTCAAACCCCAAGAAACAGAAACACAAACATTTTCCATGGTTCACGCTGCAGATTTTTATGCGGGGTCTATTTAATCTGGCCAAGGACCGGGTTATCAGACTGCTGCTCGATCAGGGCATTACAAGGCAGCAGAGCTGAGGTGCCAATGCCAATGCTAGGTTTGTGCATAATGCATTAGTTGGAGGCTGCAAGACCCTGCAGCGGGTATCCATCCATGGGTGGTGGCCTCAAAGTGTATTTCAGGCCCCCTTCCAATCCAAATGCCGAAAGGTTGGGTAATACAAACATAAATAAATGTGACATGCCAAGTTACGGAGTGATAAGGCTGAGCCCAGCTGAGCTGAGTTGAGTTGAGCGGAGTGGACAATATCATCTTTCGTTTCTTTGTTACATACGAATGGATGACGAAGAATGAAAACATTCTTACATACACCTACGCCTCATCTCACAAGGTCATGAGTCATGATATGCCTCTCTTCCAGGCTTTGAGTCAGGAGCCTCACCGACAAAAAGTCATGCCACGAATTTGTTGGTTGGGTGAGGTCCATGAATACGTTGGCAGTTTCATATATTATGGATAGATTCAAGCCACTTGATCCACTGAGCAATTTTCATGCGTCCTTTAGTTGAGCATTGTCCATGTCGAGATAACGAATGTATCCAGATATAGAAGCCAAGCCACATCATTATCACAGACATCACAGCAGCAGAGGTCAGATCAGGAGGTACGAGACGATGATCGTGAGGAGAGGAAATAGAGTATGCAATTTTAGCGACCAAGTGATGAATGAAAATAACGCAGTAATCTTCCAACCAGGATGCGGATATCATTCCAGAAACGCCTATGAAATAACCCAGTGAACCCATTCCAAGAACCTCTATTCGAAGATTGATATGTCACGGTGATTTCCCCGGACATGGCGCATCATTTTGCCAGACTTGATGCACATCTCGAGAGAATTGCGCCGTTAAGTCGCGGATTTTGCTATTGATTTGTCAGTCACGTCATAGATGTCGGCCGTGCTGACATACGAGAGCTTTGTAAGATCAACATCCATAGAGACGACAGTAGATAGATCGGAAAGATGATTGTTGACCATGGCGTGTTCATGGGCATCAACTACTGCTTGCTGAACCTGTCGGCTTTCCACCAGAGCATCCGTCATCTGTGCCCATGCCTGCGCAGCTTGGATGAGATAATCGCCAATATCGGTGACGATGGTACTGTTCTTCTGGTCGGAGGCGGGTGTTTGCTTGGCCATAGTCCTCGATGTAACCTGAAGATGTTGAACAATAGCGTGTAATTGCTGGGTAGACTGGGCGTCGTATTGAGGATGTACAACGGCAGCTCTGTTTGGAGTATTCATTGGAGTAACGATGAAACAATTGTACGATGAGGTGGTCGTGTGAGATATAAAGATACAGACAGTGACCGGTCGAGGTGTGATGGAAGTGCAGAGTGAGTGAGAGTAGGTAATTTACGCGCGGCTCGAGTATAAGACACGGACAGAAACGGAAATATACATGGACCGGGGAAGAGGGAAACGGGAAATATGATATGAGCTGATATGAGCTGAGCTGAAAATGTCTCTGAAAAGGAACGTGAAATTGTAAAAGGGCGAAACGCCCCCAAAAAATGAGAGTGAGCAGAGCCAGCCTTTGTGCTGTGCTACCTGCGTGGGTGCCGTGCGTGGGCGTGGGCGTGGGCGTGGGCGTGGGCGTGGGTGCGTCTGTCTGAGCGGGTGGAGCCACACAAAAGGGGAAAATACGGCGCAGCACAAAAGAAGCAAGTAAATGACAAGATGATGCGAGAGAGAAGAGACAACAAGGCCAACACTACAACAGACTCGTGTTCAACTTAGCGCTCTCTACTGAGTTCAGTGTAAGGTTAGACACAGAATAGAGAACACAGCCCACTAAAGTTTACTTATTTAGAGGGAGTGCTAGTTCTTCTAGAAGCACTGGACTTTTGGGGGACCGATTCATGGATGAATGAGATGGTGTTGTCTCTTTTCTCTTCTCTCAGTGGTGGGATCGGCAGTGGTTCCGGGGGTGTGAACCGTCAAAGACAAGAAACAGGCCAGCCCAGGTCTAGCCCACCTGCACCCTTGGTGAAAAAAGGAAATAAGCCGGGACTTGAAAGTGGCATTTTGACTCGTCTGAGACATCGCCAAGAGAAAGCGGAAGTGAGAGAGACGGTAACGAAAAAACTGACAAGTTTAATCTGGCATTGTTAACAATGACATCAGTGAGAGATTGTTAATCCCGAGTATTCGGAGCTATTGGCCCCTCTTCCCCGCGATAGAGCCATCGGCCTAGTCTGCAATGGATCTGTAGATATCGCCAAGGTAGTTGACCGAAGAGAGAGAGAGAGAGCGAAACTCCCCCCATCTTGTCTCTTCCCGCATCGGCCAAGTCCGAAACAAAAAGAAGGGCCAGGGACAAGAATATGATCTGAGGACATGTTTTACCGGCAGAAGCATCCGGGAAACTCCCAAGTCAAGTTTGGGGTTACACAAAGGAAAGCAAATTAAAATATGCGGTGAACAAAGGGAGAGGGCGGGACAGAAAAAATAGAGAGACATTGGCGCTAATGCACCCGAAACAATGGTTCGGTATCCCAGAGAGAGAGGGAAAAAATACGCCAATAGGCCCCGGTGCATCCACACCTACAGGCTAGGTACAGACTACAGTACAGCACAGGAGGAAAAAGTAAAGAGATAACAGTGGCAGGACAGGGCCCGACATTGACAGGGAGGGCGATACGAGAAGAAATGGAATCGTTATGGAAGGTTAATTTCTGATGTATTCTTCTCGGGAGAAGCAAATTAATTGCATGTCGTGCAGATCCTACATGTCAGTTGCTGTTGAGGTACGGTTTCAGAATGTGTAGGTAGCCCGTACCTTAGCATGTAGGGCATGGTTGTCAGTGCTTGACTTCAGGGGTGTTGTCTCCCTGTTTTGTTCTCTGCGGCCACTACCATTAGGCATCACAATAGTTATCTCAATCACTTGCATGGTTCACTCCCATCACCTGTCACCGAATGGAAAACGTGATATCACCTATAGAATGTGATTTCACGAATCATGTCTCAAACCGTCAGCACACTTCCCGCCAAGTTTCAATAGTCATTCCATCCTCCGAAGCAAGGGTTCTCTCCCAAATGCAACCCTATCCAGCATATGTACATCCAGACAAAAACGTCAATCTTGCGTAGGTAGGGATCAACAAACACCTACACGATTTCGGCACATAAAAAAACTCTGGGCGTACAGACCGTGTTTCCACTCCGGTGAGATGTAAGGGCGGGACCCGTGATGCCCACCCCTTGCAACCACGAAAAAGTCGGATCAGATTTTCTGACGCATGCTACGATAATCCAAGGCTTTTGCTACGTCATCTTGTACCTGGTGACTCCCGGTTGCCACGTTGTGTTTGGGAGGGGGTCTGGAACGCGGCTGTAGGGATATAGGACAGGTCACTTTTTGGGGGGAGGGGAGGCTGAAGAGACAACAAGTGACAGCGGATGTTTAGTCCCGGTTCTGACAGGTTGGGCGGTTAGACATCGGTTTCCCAAGCGGTACTTACATCGGGGCATCTGTAGACTGTACTGTTTGTGAGCATCCCATCTCGTGTTTGTAGTTACACAGTCAGATCACGGTCACAGTCGTCCACTGGCTTCACCATGAGCATATGTTTTCTCAGCAACCTCGCTTTGTTCTCTGTGAACCTTGATGCATTTTGAACAAACCATTTCAATGACGAAAGATTGACTGCAAGAAAAGACCCTGCATCTCAAATTCGCCACAAGATCTGACTGAATGTGATATCTCTTCATCTGATATCGCGCAACAGAGAAAACATCATGACAATCAGCCAATCATAGACTATCCCCTCCACTCTCTTCTCCCCGGAAAAGAGATGACATCTACTCAATCTCAACAACCGAGACAAACGCCAACCATCACCTTGGACCCCCTGGTCAAGACCGCTAAACCCATAAAGTATTCCTTGCGAATCATACGCAACATTACCAAAGACAGGCACTGGCACTTTATCATCTTATCCCTCCCTCCCTCCCTGCAAATTAAACTAATGCGTGTAAGTTAGTGTCAGTTCGGCCACTAATGCAACCTATGCCGGAGACCCATGTCGGTGGGGTTCTTCTTTTTCGAGCAACACCCGACGTCAAAGAGATGATCATTCTGCGCTGGGCTGGGCTTGGCCTCGGCGTCTAGCGCTCGGTGGTCCGATGACCTAACAATTGGCTGTACGCTAAGGCTGAGTACCTTACCTACACAATCAATGTTATCTCTAGGTCGGGGGGGCGGGGGGCGTTTGGAGATACCGCAAACTTTATCGTTTGCGGGGGAGTGCGGAGGAATGAGAAAACAAGACCAGAGGATTTTTTTCCTTTCCTTTTATTACTTAGGTTATCAGACGGGATTGATAGGGAATCATGGAAACTCGCTAAAGGTCAAGCAAATCATCGCAGCCTCGCAGCTCAAGGCTATAAATATTCAGCTGCGTCTTCGTAGAACACAACTAAAAAAAAGGCAGACATCAACTAGAATCACATCATCTACCTGTCTGTTCTCCAAGTTGCCTCACCATGAGTAGTAAACCTTCTGTTCTTATCATCGGCGGAGGTGTCTTTGGAACCTCAACTGCGTACCATCTTATCCAACGCGGCTACACCAACATCACAGTGGTCGATCGTTTCGAGGCCCCCTCTCGCGACTCGGCCGGCACTGACCTGAACAAGGTTATCCGTGCAGACTATCCCAACCCGCACTACGCCCAGCTCGGTCTCGAGACCCTTGCCGTGTGGAAAGATCCAGACTCTCTCTTCAAGGGCCTGTATCGCGAGTCGGGATGGATCATGGGGGGACATGAGGAGACGAATCAGTGGTTGGAGAAGGCTAAGGATTTGGCCGAGAAGAAGGGGAGACAGGGAGTGGAGTATCTGGACGTTGAGAGGATCAGAGACAAGTGGCCTGCCTTGACTGGGGAGTTTCCGGGCTGGACTAATCTGTACAGTCCTCAGGCTGGTTGGGTAAAATCAACACTCCATATCTATCGATTCTCAGCACTGACCTGCCCCAGGTCCCCTCAGGCCAAGCCCTTCTCCGCATGGCTAAAGCTGCAGAGAAGAATGGCGCAAAGTACATCACCGGCCATGCAGGCCAGATCAAGGAGCTCCTATACGAGGACGGGACCTACAAAGGTGCCGTCGCCGCCAACGGGGAGATTCATCGCGCCGATAAGGTCATTGTTGCAGCTGGAGCAGGCCTCCCGGCTCTTGTTGAGGGAGCTAGGACTGATGTTAGAGCCGAGACTTCGGTGATCTGCGTGATGAAGCTGGAGCCACATGAGATTGAAAAGTACAAGGACATCCCCATCATTGATGACTTTGAGCAAGGTACGTGACACTGAAACTTGTGATGATTGGAGTGCTGATGATGTGTAGGCATTATATTTCCTCCTGATGAGAATGGCCTCATCAAGTTATGCAGTGTCCGGCTGGTGACCAACTATTTCAACCATGTGCATCCTGGCGCTTCGGTCTTGCATTCAGTGGGTGACTATCCTTTCGATGGATGCCCCAAGGAGCTTGAAGTCGAGATTCGAAAGTTTGTTCGAGAAATGATCCCTGAGCTTGCAGATCGACCCTTTGTCCACACCCGTCAATGCTGGTAAGTGATCCTATTTGGGCCTTATCAAACCATTTATATCTAACCATTTGCCCAGGGACGGCATGGCCTCAGACCTCAACTTCCGCATCTGCCCTTATCCCGACACAAAGAACCTATATATAGCAACAGCCGGTTCAAACCACGGCTTCAAGTTTCTCCCAATCATTGGAAAGTACGTAGTTGACCTTCTCGAGGATTCTCTTGATTCAGGCCTCAAGAATCTCTGGAGCTGGAAATTCGGAAAGAAGCCCGATGATTTCCAAGATCCTCATCCTTTTCCCCGCAGAGACTTGAACGAGTTGACGGGTTGGAAGGGGAGAAACGCTCCAGCGGAGGGAAAGCTGCCTTGGACGTGGAGCCGTAGTCGTCTCTAGGGGGGTGTAGATGTAGTGGGTATTTTAGTTTACTCACATCTCACGACTGGAAAGCTTTTATCAAAGTAGATCCGCCAATGTAGGCCTAGACAGGGAATAGAAATCATCACATGACAATGCACTAAATAATTAGTGAGTTTAGTAGTTGGGGAGATCCGCTCGTATGGATGGATCTACGTGGGAACGCTAAAGTTTGAACTATCTCGGGATTTAGCGTTGTTTTCTCTGGCGGCTCTGTTTCCTCACTTCATCTTCTCCGTGGCGATGTTTTGAGTTATTAATTTCCTCATTGATTGAAGGGACTGGACGTTAATTCCCCGTTTTAGACGGACAAGCCCGTAAATGCCCGCTCGTCGGTATCACTGCGGCGTCAGAGTTGGCCGTAGTTGAGTAGGTACCTATAGGGTACTAATCATGGCCCATTGGTCATTTACCAGTCATTGAGTTGGTTTCCGTATAAAGCCACAAATAGTCTCAGTTTTGCTTTTTATTCTCCAGAGTAAACATCGGTTTGTTGATTAATTATATCATTATTTGGTGGCTCTAGCGTGAAACTTCAAGGTTTCTTAGCGGAGTATCATACATGTGACTCGTCATTATCCGGCATCTCGGTACTTATCACACCGCACTAAAGAAACATGGGCAAATTCCAGGGTCGCAAGCTCGTGGCCTGCACAGCATGCCATTCTCAAAAGTTAAAATGCAGTGGAGGTACGTATTCTAACTCATGCATCCAATGCTATTGTTGATCGTATGTGAGTAGATATCCCATGTCATCGGTGCATTCAACGAAATAGAGAATGCGTATATCCAAAGAAAGATAAATTCATCACTGTGCCAGAGAGTTATCTGCGTGATATCGAAGCAAAGGCCAATACCAATAGCCAGTTCAGCTTCTTGGATGGAACAGAAGATCCAGCCACTCTCTTCGATACAAGCCAGCCGTCTCCTACGATCGACACGAGTCATATAAAAGATACATGTCCAGCAGAAGTCTTTATACAAAAGTTGACAGACATTTCTGCCTTACTACATCCATATATACAGACTGAATCATGTCAGCAGCTACAAGTGGGTGAAGCAGATGAATTTGTTAATTTTCATCTGAATTCCCAGGATGGAGGTGAGTGCAGCGGATAAAAACACCCCGAAACAGAGAATATACTGATTTAGATTTTGCTTGTTAGTGCCTCAGATGTTAGTAAAGCTTCCGCCAGAAAAGCAAGCTATGCATCTTTTGCGTACATTTGAAGGAGTAAGCAGTGAATACCACTGGTTTCTCCGCCAACAGTTTAGAGATCGGATGCGGCAGACATACTCCCAGCCTACAAGTCATGCCAACGATAGAAATTGGTTCTGCCAACTGTCCCTTGTCTTAGCTTTGGGCCAAACTCTCGAAAAGCAGCCAAAACAAGAGTCTGAAGAGATAAATGGCCTATGGGATTTCAATCAGTCTTCAGCTTCGTTAGATCTATTTAGCCAGGCCGTGTCTTTATTTGGCATCTCAGAGACTCTAACATTGGAGAACCTCGAGACATTGAATCTCATGGTAAGCTAAAGTTTCTGTTCCAGAGGGACCATGAGAAGTAGCTGACCGTCACATAGGCTTATTACTGCCACTTTACAAACCGACCAAAGGCAGCTGTTATCTACATCAGCCAGAGCATAGCAGTAGCAAGGCTGCTTCAACTTGACGATCCAGAAACATACCAGCCCAAGAGCTCAGGACAGCAAGATGGTAAAAGCCAATGCATCACCAAAGGGCACATGCTTCGGTTATGGTGGACGACTGTCTGTCTGGATAAGACGCTTGCTACAGAACTTGACTTGAGTCCAGTGTACTTGACCCCGTCTCTGGACTTGCCGTTACCGTCTTCAGAAGGGTTTTCATCGGAGAATGAGGATGAGTTCTTTGATTTGGAGCTTTTATTGGCGGAGATCCAGTCTTGAAGTGAGAAACAGTTGCAACTGTGTTATCTTACCCATGCGTTCTACCGAATCTTATTGCTCTATATGGTTAAGCGGTCATGGTAGTGGAATACCAAGGTGGATTTTCGAGGGGGGCAGTTATCTCTGTGCAGAAAAGAGGTCTTCTACTTGACCTTCAAGCGATACTTATGCCTCGGTGATCGATTGATTGGTCCAGTCTCTCTATGTTATATTGCAGTCGTAAGTAGTGGTCTTTTGAGGGTAGTCTGGCCTGGAATAGAATTCCTTTACAAGTATACTGGACCCGGGTCGAAATGCCTTCCGGCTGGAAATGTTCATCATCATTAGATACACTTCTATCACAGCTCAGCTACTGCAAAGATTTCCACAGGTTGATATAGAATAATGATCAGCAAACGCATTATTTGGCAACAAAGGATGAACAGGGACGAATTTCTGGATGGAATGATCTGACTCGACGAAGTAGTAGTGGCTGGGTCACAGATAAATCGTTGAAGTGCTAGATAATGAAAGTTCCATTTCAAAGAGCAATATAGCCAACGCGTACTTTACATTATCAACATTTGTATCCTCTGTTAAAGCAGCGTCACCAAGATGAGGCGAGAAAAAGAGATATCATCTCCAACTGAGACACAGGCCGCTCCCTTGAGTATTGATTCTATATGAGACTTGAGGCTAAGATGTCCGCCGTCGCCCACTGCTAACCATCGACTTACAATCCTTCACTCCTCTCATACAGCAAACCACCAATAAAAGCAACAAAAACAGGAATATATCCCCAGTGAAACCACTCATTCCCCCCAATAAGCGATTTGCTCACGAACCCATCAGTCGCCAGCATGAAAAGGGCTCCAAGCAATCCCATGCCCATGAGTTTCTTATCTCCGGTCAAGGCGTTGTTGATGAAGAGGTAAGAGATGACGATATTACGCGCGCCCTGCAGACGAGCGAGGGACAAACAGGTCTTTCGGCTCTGGGGATCGGTTGGGATGGGGAATTTGACGATCTTGAGGGTGGCTTCTGGTCGGAACATTGAGTTGATGCCAATGAGGCCTGGGATGGCGGAGATGACGACGGCGCCGCGGTAGAAGAAAGTATCCCACATTCTGAAGATTTCTGGGTTTTGTGATGTTGTAGGAGGGAAGATGAGGTTGAGGAACACGTAAGATTTGTTATGAATGTCAGAGCCCTATATCGTGGCATGGCGTGCGGACATAAGCACTATCCCCGTCAGGGTATATTAACTGTATCTCCGATAATTATGGTGTTAAGCTGTACTGCTATCTTGAGCTGTTAAGTAATATCTGGGGCAATGATTTTTTATGTTGATGGTTTGTAAAACCAATAGGTTAATACCCGATGAGCAACTTTTGGACGGTCTTGGAGTAAGTGCTGTAAAAGTTGTCCATGTTCATTATATTATGCAAGGCCGAGATAAGTAGATTAAATCAAAACTTGATTTGTTCTCCAGTTATATTCTTTAATTATACAGGTTGACTAGATAATTCGTGGCTAGTTGATTTATAAATACGGAGATATGTATAATAGACCAATGGTCCAATATACAATTCTTCAAAAACATCGTCAGAGTGAACCGTAGAACAGTGCCCAGATTTCTTAAAATGGAGATCTCATACTCTGTATTTATTAGGTACCAAGAGTCGAATAGGGGATTTCATGCAAGTCGGGTTGAATGCAAGATTCCATCAACGTACAGGCCCTGGACACTTCCATCCTTAGACCTGGAGACATAACAACATACATTCAGCCGATTTTAATACCCGAGTATCTTAATAGCTTAGACTAAGAATAAACTGCACTGGGGTCTGTAAAAGACTAGACAGATTGTATACAGTCCACTACTGATTGGGGCCAATATCTGATCAAGGGATGGATGTGAAGGGTCAACTTAGCCAAAATTTGCCCAAGCCCAGTCACAAGGTCAAACCAACACCGAAACACTTTCCGCTATTGGATTATAGGACATAAAACGCGGAACTATGCAAATGACCTGGACATACATATCCAGCGCGGGTATCGGAGTGCTTGACCAACTACAGAAGCATACATACATACACAGCCATCATCTGACCAACATCAACATCAACATCAACAACACGACGATAAGAAGCACAACCCCACCCACCACAACCGTAAAGCATTTCCCCATCCGTGCCATAGATACGTCCCCTATCTCGGAACTATCTACGTCACCCTCTCCCGCGATAACGCTACTGTACCCCGCGTTTCGACTCTCTCATTCGACCATCCCAAAAGGGTTATGTTAACCCGCAGGCACTCCTCCAAGTGTAACCAGATTTGGGTTTCACTGGCGTTTATCTTGACGATATGCTTGACGTAGACGCAAGGTATGGCATAAAGAAAAAGAAGCCTGCTGTGTAGATGATGATCGTGACTCTGTAACTACTCGATACTTATCATCGTTTGTCCGTGAAGGATATTTCTCTCATCATGCTTGTCTTTTCCGAGAGTCTGCGTGCTAACACGGTCCATACTATACTTGTTGTATCGTTTTGTGCCAGTGCTTGTGCGTGTTTGGGTCTCTTGGCTCATGCTCTTGTGTACAAGCGAAAGGCTCTCAATCGATATGCGTATCCATCATCTCCCCCACCAGAACCTGTAAAGAAGACTGCTCCCGTGGACTATACTACTGTCTATCCTCCATCGCAAAGACACGCCCTCCCTGAAATATCGCCAGAATTTGGCTCTGGCGATGTTGACCTTTCTGTGGCATCAAAGCTGCTGCTGAGGTTGGATGAGGACTATCGTCATGCCAGTCCCAGCACATTCAACTTCACTAGCTTCAGTGTTGGTGAGATCAGACGACTTGGAGACTTCCCCGACTATGCAAAGCTGTCAGGCGTTCCTTTACCAGAACCTCTCAAGAGCTTCAATGTCGACAAGGCAATGCCGAGACCATATCGCCCATTCCGGTGGGCTTATCACCAGACCATGTGTAAGTGCTACTCCATGGCCTCAAATACAGCGACGAAAAACTTACACTAGTTAAAGCATTGAAGAAGATGGACCCAGACTTCTGGCTAGAGATAGAGAACACATATCGCGAACGCGTGGCACAGCGACAGGTTCTCTACGCAAAACACGGCAAAGATGTCCTTCAGGCCTTGCCCGGCTCTGAGCTAGCATGTAAAGAGCTCATGGAGATGGTCATTCAGTTCCTCTGTGCGCGATATCCCCAAGCATTCGAACTTGACGGCAGAGTATTTGTCAATCACATTTTGGCCGTCAAGGAAGATCTTGATCAGACTGAACCTCTGCTCTTCCTTCTCAACCACGTCCCCGAGGACTTTGCGCTCACACTGCGGGATCCTGCGACAGGGCGGTATTGCTTCAGAGCTGGTGTGATTTGCTCCTCTGTTGGGTGGAAGCTGAGTGAGAAGATTGGACTGGGATTGCCCGAGATACACGCTACAGTGCCTGATTACAAGGAGAAGATGGAGTTTAGCATGGACCGGTACGTCAACTTGAACCCCACCTCATCGATACGTTGCTGATTGAACAACAGGTTCTTCACTAAAATGCCTACCAACAGTCCCATCCAGCGCGGATCCTGGGGTCTCGAAGTCGGTCAACCGCTCTTCATCCCCGCCGAAGACCCCGAATTCAAGACCCGAGAAGTTCAAAACCCCTCTCTTACCGAGGATGACGTTTCTCTCCGAGTTGACTGGCAGACCCTACGCCGCTTGCCTCTTTCAGGCGCTATCGTCTTCAACTTCAAGGCCTTGTTCACTCCAATGACTGAGTTCAGAGATGAGCCGTACGTTCCCTCTCTGGTACTGAAGGTGTTAAATGAGGGAAAGGAGAATATCATGAAGTACAAGGGGACGTGGCATGTCGAGCATGTTACGAAGCCGACGCTGAGGAAGTGGGAGAGGGAGCAGATTGAGAAGGGGTTGATCCCTAGGGATTGGGAGGTTACTACATTGGCGGAGAACCCATTCTTCCCAGGATGGGAGAGGAAATGGACTGTCAATTGAGTGCAGTGGTAGTCGTGAATATCTTATGCAGTGATTTTATTTTATTTCTGATATACTTGCCAGTTCTGAGCTCGATATCTCGTGATGGCTTCATTCTGCAAGTTGATGAGCACATGACTGAAAAGAACAAGACCCCCAGAAAGGTTGAACAAGTTTGGCACCGACCATGGGTGTTAATCTTCACCACGAGACGCCTGACTGTAAATTTCCAAGTAAATGCTTCATTTATGGCTCTTTCATCTATCGAAATAATGCGTAACAGACACAAATTGCTCTATCAACTCAGACATGACCATCTACCAAGGGTATCTCCTAATCTCACCCTCCTTCTCAACCTCCAACCCCCTCGCCAACTGCTTCTCATGCTCTCGATCAAGATACTCCAACAGAACCTCGCCATACTTCTGCTTGCCCTTATAATTCGCAACCTTGTCATCCCAACTCCTCACCGCGCTCGCCAATCTCCCCGGAACGTAATCCTCCTGCGCAATCTCCGTCACAGGGTGAAAATACGTTCGAATAGTGAATACCACACCTCCAGTTTTTGGCAACCGCCTAAGTGACTGTCGCTCAGACCGAAACATGTGGTGCTCAACAGCTCTGTCCTTCTCAGCGGTGCTCCAGCTCACGGAGGGTGCGTCTTCATTGCCGATGCTCCAGCTCCAGGCTAGACTTTCGTCGACTTGGATGAAGTAGTTGTTGCGGTTGTAGACTGTTTCTGGGCGAAGGCGCTTGAAGAACTTGCACATTCCGGTCTCGAGCTTTTCCTTGAAATGGGGGACGTCGCCTGATGTGTGGATGTCGGAGAGGGACATGCCGTATTTGTCTGAGAGACGCCAGAAGCCGGCGAGGAGAATTGCACCGGCGAGGAGATAGTATTGGCCATCGGGACGTTCAATCATGATGGCGAGATCATCTTGAATGAGACGTGAGCAGATAGCCATGGGATCTTCAGCTAATGGACGCTCAACAATGTTAAAA